GTCTTTCCATCTATCATCAAGGCCGATCTGCACGCTTGCATCTTCCACATTTTCGTTACTGTCCTCGGCACAGGCTCATGCCAGGCTACACTAGTGCCGCAAGTTCTTCCAATCTTTCGCCGCTTCGTAAGCAGCGTTACTCTTGACGCACGATCAGAGACCCGTAAGCAGGTTCGGGGCACACTTACTCGTTTCTTGGCTATACTCAAGAACGCCCAAAAGCGAGAATCAGAGGCTTCTTTACCATGCGAGAAGAATACTATACTCGGAAGTACTATCCTTATAACGTCTTCCAACAGCGCCATGGCTACGGATGACCCAGTAGTGGCACGATTTATTGCGGAGCTTGGAGACTGCTTGGAGAACAGAATGACAACCAAGATGGCTGCTGGCTGTGCCAGGTCGCTTTTGGTAATGCCTGCCACGAATAGCCTCCGGCCTACTGTAGCACCTAAGCTACTACCACGCCTCTTGTCCTTCCTCGCGCATCCTTCCGACCTCGAAGAAATGGATCAAAGCAGGACTGTCGTAGCCCAAGCGCTTGTTGGCTTTGTTACAACGCTTCCACCGGCACAGAAATCGCCTGCAATTGGCTTGCTTATTCCGACACTGCTCAGCCGCGCTGTCAGAGAAGGGGAGCAAACGCACCGCGAGACGGCATCCCGCTTAGTTGAGCTTGCGGCTGCGGATCAATCCGCGTTCAGAGCGACGATTGGAAAGATGGACGCTGACCAAAAAGCACTGATGGAAAGGATCATCAGGGAAGGCCAAGGACCGCAACAGGTAGCTAAGACTGATGCTAGCGAGGAGCGCGAACCCACCATTGCCTTGAAAATGAACTTTTGAGGCCGAGAAGATACCTAAGTATGTATGCAGAGCGATATCGAGAGATGGAAATGCTCTCAACGCTGGCCGTAGTCGCACCTGCCACGAAAATAATCCACCATAGAAACGATATGAAACAACGCACTAGAGCGCTCCTTCCTGAATCAGTGCTTACAGCTATTGTGGCCTCATCTCCCTTCTGAGGATGCACGTCTTCTTCCACTATACACTTACTTGGCTCCTCGCCGTTTTCCGTCACTGCATCACACTACTATCGCTACATACATATATACATACCTTAGCATGAATAACCAATTACCTCTGCGCTTGAAGGGCAAGGACTCGAAAGAGCCCTCTCTACGCAAACAAACTCTACTCTATCAGACGGCGAAGAGGAACTTCGGCGAACAACCCAATGCTCCGCCGCCGGCGCCGTTCAAGACAGAAGGCCCCGAGCAGTCCGCCGCTTCGGACGCATACGATTCGATCGCCCCAGATGAAGTAGACCCAGCCTGTGAGTCTGAACAGCTCGCGGCCTCGGACTATCTGGTAGTGACGACCGGGGCATTTCCCATGTGCGAGCCGCCGGAATGGTGTGACACCGACATCCCTGACGCACCCACTCGGGATGACATATGGGCCAAGTGCGCCGAATGGGCCAGCATAGACGGGACATGCGACGAAGTCTGGCGAGATGAGGTCGCAGAAGGCATCATCGCACAAATCGCCGCGCACGTCGCGGGAGAAGACGTGCGCGTAGACGATGGAGAGAAGGAAATATCTCCATTCGAGGGTGAATACGTGCTCAGGGGTCCATTGATAAAAACCATCAAATGTGAGCTGAGCTTCGCCGCGACTGGTGAAGTTGGCGCTGACTGCCTGCAGGGCTCTTCGTCTTCATGCAAGACTTGACCGGCATGAACTTTGCGGTAGACTTGGTCACGGATCCTAAGCTGGAGTTCGCACACCTCCGTCTTGCAGTCCTGTATGGACACCATATCGAATGCACGCCGAGGAGTCATCACATTAACTGTCCGTGGCCGGCGGACCAGTGGTGGATCGTGCATTGTGGCAAGACGGACGAGGTAGAACCATCCATGGAAAAACTCCAAATCTGGCTCTTCAAACATTGCCCGCCTTGGGGCACTGTTGTACCATTACTCGACTGGGATCGTGCGGCGTTCGAGGACTGGCTTCTAGAAGTGAGTCGCGAATCTGAAGAGAAAACGTTGGGCAACGCACGCAAGGGGAAAGGGAAGTCATTAAGATAATTCCCGGGAAAATAACATGATGAAACGATCAGCATCCTGCCGTCTGTATACTGTACCCAACTCGCATTCGTAGAGTGAAATTTGTCATCAAAACGCATCCGCCCACTTATACGGGCATCTACATCCTTACCTAAGGTAGGTTATTTGTTGTCGTAGATATAAGATATATAAACGCCAAGACCTCGATGCCAAGACTCCACGTCAACCGCGTATAGTTGTCTCCTGTACAAGTGGAAGATCTCTACCACCGAGACGCGACATGGCAGTGCAAGCCCCCAACCCACGCGACTTCAAGTCGTGGGAAGATGCCTTCCAATACCCTATACCCGTTGTTCGCCGCCTGGAGCAGCAGCTCCGGGGCAACATCAGTGAGAATCGCGAGAAGCTGCGGTCACTGGTCGGAGGCAGTTACCGGGACTTACTTGGCACGGCGGACCGCATCATTGAGATGGACGAGCAAATGTCGAGGGCGGAGTCGGTATTGAGCGACGTGGGGCAGAACTGCAATGCCAGAGCGGTGGAGAGGATCGCTAGGAGCCACGCTCGGATGGCGAAGCTGCGCAGAGACCGTACCGCTGGACGGAATGGACTAGCATCCGAACTCACTCTTCTGCAAAGGTGTATGGACTCGGCAGCACGGATCGTGAAGAGGAATCAATCGAGCCTCCTCGCTTCGAAGCTGCTGGTACTGGCAAGGCTGCTACATAAGAGCGCTTCAGAATCTCCGGATCCGCCACCGCTCCTCGACAAATTGAGATCGAAACTGGCCTCGCTGCGAAAGAAGCTACTCTTTCATATAGATCTTCATCTTGCGAGCGCGACGCTAGAGACAGCGGATCTGGTAGACACTCTGGGTGCTTACTCCTTGGCGACTAGCTCTACGCCTACGGACGTCCTCCGCCACTTTTTGCACGTCCGGGCACAGGCTTTAAGTGACCTTTGCGAGTCTATGAGCCAGAACGATGTGAGCACGGCACTTGACTTGCTTGTGAGGACTCTCAAGGACGCGCAGACAGTATTTCCGAAGCATTTGCCGGACTTGCTGGCACAGTTGAAAGCAAGACCACTCCTGCAAGACAGCCACATCAGCGCAATTGCCGAACTGGATCTGGATATTCATGAGCGCTGGATTGCAGAGAGTGTCCGCAAATATACCCCATCGCCCCGGCATGACCAGCTCCAGCTGTCCCAGGCGAGCGATATACTGAAGTCATGGGGAAAAGCTGCCACCAAAACGCTGATCGATGGCCTTCGGAGGCTACTCAAGGACGTCTATGACATGGGCGATGTCATTGGCCTACGTGAAAGCTGTCTTCGACAAGCACTGGCTGTTGACAAGAAGACCGCAGGCCTGGACAGTGCGGCACTCATGGAAGAGCTGCGTTCTTGCTTCCTCGATCGCATGAGGGATGTCATATCTTTCCAAGCCTCCAAGCTCAGCACCATTGCGGGAGACGTTCTTGACGAGACCGCAACGTTTGCAAAGCCCGAGGAGGACGCCTTAGATCTCTGGGACCCCACTCTGGCCGATCTCGACCTAGCACGTAGTGCGGTGGCGCTACGGAGTCAAATAAACAACCGGAGACTCGGTAGGAGCAGTTGTATGCAAATTATCAGTCACACTTTGCTGGACTGGTCTGCACGCTCGACAGAGATTGCATTGCAAGTGAAGGGCCTCCGCGACGTCCGTTGGGATGATGACCTAGACATCACCGACGATCTGGATCTGGACTCTCCGCAAGAGTTGCTGAGCCGGGATGATCCACAGTCACTCGAGCAGGTCCTCGAGACGGAGAATGAGAGGTCTTACTCCAGCCTCGTGCAGCGTATGAAGCAAGAGGCCGACTCTGTGTGGTCACAGCGTGATGAGCAGAACCAAAGCGTCGATACCGCTACCGGCGGCAGGGCGATATTCCTTCTGCGACTCCTACGCGAAATCATGCAACGCCGGCCATCCACTACAAATGCTTCAAGTACCGCTACGTCAGCCTCTTCCCTCGTAGAGACACTCCATCACATCCTGGTTCTTCACGTCACGGCAAGCTCTGCGCCACCCCGCAAACCGAACAGTGGAACAGCAATCAACTTCAACCGCTGTCCAGCCACCACGTTGTGGGAAGGTACGCCACCCCTCCCCGTCCAGCTCTCTCCTGCATGCTTTCGATTCCTTCGCGGGACATGCAAGGGTATGGAAGCTGTGGGAAGCGACCTTTGGACGCACGCTGCTGTCAGTAGTCTAAGGGCCAGTCTTGCTGGCATGGTGGCCAAGTCCCTCGAATCTCTGATCGGTAGTGCGAGCTCGGCTAAGCCAGTGGTGAATGGCCACGCAGAGGAGGAGACGAACGGGCATATGGAGAGTATCGAAGCGAACGAAGAAGCCGAGACCAACGGAGCCGAGACGCCTCGCATCGAAGACGACGCACATGACACACCCGCGTTCCAGAACAAGGCTACACAGGCCCTGTTCGATTCCTTCTACCTAGAGAAGCTGCTCAAATCGTCAGGAGGCACGACCCTCAGCGAGGCTATCGAGGGCTTGAAGCAGCAGACAACGCTCCAAGAAGCCGAGATCGAGCGTTTGCGGAAAAGCTCGACGGACTATTGCAAGAAGACGTATCTGCTCTTTGGTATGCTTGCCAACCCATAATAGCTGACCGATTGATGGGTCAGGCAGATGTATGTAGATCATGTATGATATGGGCGACGGAGGCATATGCACCGCGTGACGCTCTTTAATATGACATACCGTCGTTGAGGGCCTACTTCACCACCGAGGGGCGGTACGGATCTGACATGGACATGTTTTGAATTGCAGCGTCGCATGGTGCCCATGTTGCGGCTGTAGTTCTCTTGCACCGCATGCCTTAAGGTGTATATTTGAACTGAGCGGGCTTCCTAAGTATCAGCTGAGTGGCGCAGCGGAAGCGTAAGTTCATAACTCCATTCACCTTCACATGCAACTCGGTTCTAACATTCACATAGGCGCCGGGCTCATAACCCGGAGGGCGACGGATCGAAACCGTTCTCAGCTAGAGAGTTCTTTTTCTTTTCCTTTCTGCACTCTCGAATTGAGCAAAAGAGTCGAAGATATCCGTGGACATTCCCCCTCTCACGTCTTCCTCTCAGTGACTTTCGGCACAGGCCACCAAGCGTGATACCTCTGATCCGGCTCCGGCACCACCACCGTAATCCTTCTCTTCACCTCCTCCTCTCTCCCCTCCACATCCGCGACTGTCTCAATCCCTGTCTCCTTACAAGCCTTCCTGACCGCCACGACCGCCAACCCAGTCGCAATCGCGCTCAGCAGCAAGCTCTGCACCTCCCGCTTCCAGCCATCCTCACAGCCGACAAACTTGCCGTCTTCCGGGGTCGCGGCTTTCAAAGCCTGTAGTTCGCGCTTCGCGCTCCTGATGCCGTCCTCGGCGTCTGCGCAAAGGAAGTCCATCGCGTCCGAAGGGGCGGGCACGTGTGCGGCGTTCAGCTCCTCGTACGAAAGTATGTGCGGCGTACCGACGGGTAGGAAGGGCTTCATGCGGAGTTCGTGCCGAAGGGCGGGCGTGCTGTAGGAACGTGGCGGCGTAGGGATCAGCTGGAGCGCATTCAGGAGGGCGTAGATCTGTTGTGCGTTGGTTAGCTATTGGTCTGGCGGATCGGAGTATTGGAGTGAACATACCGTTCTGAGAGCGTTGGCCAACCCTAGCGTCGCGGTGGCCTGAGAGATTAGAGTCCGGACAAAGGCACGGCTGGCCATACACTCGGCTAGCCGGGCTTGTTGGCCGGTTTTAGCCAGCTTTTGCTGCCGCAGGTTGAGGAAGAAGTCGATGTGTTGCAAGTGCTTCGTGCGCGTCGTAGCGAGGTGAGCGAGGAAGCAGTACATGCCGGCAAACTCGTCTGGCAGGTATACTTCGAGCTCGAAGCCCAGCTGCACCACCCATTCCATGACGCGCAATTTGTGGAAGTACGCCCACGCCGCAAGCGGGTAGAACTGCAGCGGTCCTGAGCCGGCGAACTTGAACTGTGCGGATTTGGATATGCTGTGGATGTCGGAGTCGATGAGCTCGGCTTCCGCTTGCATGCTGTCCAGAACCTGCACGGATTGTGCCATGGTCCGACGCATCCTGCATCGGTTCTGGCTGATCATCCGGTAGATGTTGAGGTATTCTTCGAGGACTTTGGTCATGAACTCGTCCATCTTTCGTGCCATTTGGTGACGAGGGTCTCGAGGCAGCTCAATCTCCCAGTTTGTAAGATCGATTAGTACATCGCCTGCCAGAGTGAGCTCACGCAGATCTGTCAGTAAGAGCTCCATATGAGGCATCTCCATGGCGACTGCTGATTGCTTGAACAGCAGCCCTTGCATGACAGCTCGGGAGTAGGTCGCTGGCTGCGGCTTTCTGGCGTCGAAGTCGAATGCAAAACGCTGTTTAAAGTCAGTAGGTCTACTGGCCGTGGGACTGAGGACGAGAACTAACCATAATGCTGAAAGGGCTTGGCTGAGCCATGACCGCTGATATTCGGTGTGCTTCGGTCATGTCTTCGCATAATCGAACCCACTTAGGAAAGGTCTCTTTCCAGCTCAGTTTGATCATAGGCCTCGGTGGAGTATTACTCGCCAAGTGCCTCTGGACTCTCTCAGAGAAAGCCGAGGGTACTTCCTTGCCCAAGCCCGCGGTGGCGTCAATGGACGCGATGGTAGACGCAACAGTCTTCCACGTATCGGCAGCATCTAAGTCAATGTTGGTCTCCCTAAGTGGTTTGCATGCCAACAGCAACTGTTGCCGTAGCCGGAGACGCGTGTCGAGGGCGCTCTTTAGATCCTGCTCTAGGTGTAGCTGTGAAAGTGTGGCTATTCCGTCTGCCAAGGTATCCTCAACCTCCGCCTCATCTGCGTTATATAGCAGATACTTATTGAAGTGCTGAGTGACGAAGTCCTCTTCTTCGTAATAATGCTCGCTAGTGATTTCGGCCATCACATAGTAGCAACATTTTGCTGTGCCCAACAAGTAGGATCTGAGGACGTCCGTGACCAGCAAATTCGAGCCATCAACGTCTGCGTTTCGTTTATTTGCGAAGTCGATGTCTTTCAGGGGCTTGGAGTCGGTTGGAAGTAAACGATCCATATGCAGCGATGTGAATAGTGTTTGCGAGAGCGGGTAGCCCTGGTGCCATGCCATCTATATAATCATTAATCAGTGGTCTCAGGGATGGTGAGATCTAGCATACCTCATAACACAGCATTTGGTCCATGATTCCGATGACTTCTTCCGGCAAAAGGGGCATCAAAGGGTCAAAGTCATCTATCTGTCTGTCCTTGTCCGGGATCGTAACTCCACTGTCCATCTTAGGATCCATGATCTATCTGAAGGTAAGCAGACCTCCAGCGACTATACGACTAGCCACTTACCTCGAGAGCCCCAACGGACTCAAAGAGCGTGAAGAAGTCATCCTTGACGAGTTGGCCTTCGCGAAGCTCTGCGATCGGTTAGCACAGCTTTGCGAATGCCGTACGCACATAGAACATGATTAGAGAGGTGTGCGGACGTGGAATTTATCCCACGTTTTCTTCTCGGCTCTTTGAAAACAGTTGTGATATAACGTGGGAGTATATTGCAGTCGCCTCTGTTGCGATAACGGCTCGGATGGTAAGAGAGGCGGACTTTACCTTTGGAGGCACCGAGAAACTCTTTGGTGATATCTCGTGCGCCAGTGCGACGAGCGTAGAGTGGGTTAGGCTCTGCTGTCACTGCTGCAGGTGGCGCTGGTGTTCGATTGTTATCGTCACCAATATCCAGCCGCGATATATCTGGGTGCATGGTTGAGCATCATGGATTTGCAAATTCGGGAGACGGAACAAATATCGTAGGAGATCGTTGGTCGTCATTGGGCAGACACGAGTCATATAATAAGGTATACACGATTCCGTTTTCACGTTATATCAATCCTAGAACAATAAGCACGGAGAAGTTCGCAGACCTAAGCCATTTGCACAAGGCGGACATATTGAGCGAAACGATGGATACATGGACATGTCTCAAAGCCCAAAGCCGCCTGGAAGGAGCTTGAACTGCTGCGAAGTCGGCGTCACCACATCACTAAACTGTGCCATTCTGAGAAGCAAGTCACTGATAGTTCCGACTGACTTGATTTCGAGCTCATCGATAATATATGTACAATCGCTACTCCTGCGTCACACCCTCCTATCCACGCCCGTTCATCTCAATCCTCCACCAATCTACGACTGCTGGGAGCCGGAGGCGGCATCGGCCATAGCCTGCTCGTTGGCGCTGGCCAGGGGCTTGTTCTCGCCCTGCTTGCCGTTCTGTAATCACCCATATGTTAGCCTTTCCTCTTGCTCGAATATTCCGCTGATCCGTTTGTCCGCCCTGCCATTGTTTCCCAGCTCTTCCGAATCGTCTCATCCTTCAAGATTTGTACGCACCTCCCACTTAGCGAATCTCAGGTCCATCTCTCCCCTGCGCTCAGCAGCCAGTCTCTTGTCCTCCTTGAGAGAGCGACGCACGACACGGCTTGCGACAGCCAGGTAGCGGTTGTAGCTGCAACGCCTTGTTAGTTTCTGCTCAACTGATGCATGGGCGCAAGCGTGTATCGTACGTCAGGCCGGCGGTCTTCCACGCGAAAGCCATTGTGTGTATATGTGAGGTGGTAGGTGGATATGGGATGGGTGTCTGGAGCTCTTCCAGCTTTCAAAGGTTCATTCGGAGGTCGGCCGCTGAGCGGGATAGAGTGCCAAGACATTACATCACGTGATGCTCGGTATAGTTTGGAAAGGGCTCACCAATCACAACTCGTCCATCTTGATGACTCCAGGACGAACAACTCACAGCCAATTCACGCACTGAAACATCACAACTTTAGGAATCACTGTACATGCTAATGGTACACTTCTACCTGCTCAAAAAGAAAACCGCGCTTTATCTACACTTTCAAGCCAAGATCCTGGGCGTATGGCAACATGAACAGGTCACCGACGGTTGAAACCGAAGCCTTGTGCTCCAAGATGGTCTTAGCAGCCTGCGATGATAGTTAGCTTGTGGACAACAGAGTTTGAAATTTCACATGTCAACGTACCTGCTTGACAGCATCCTCGTTAACACCGTCAACAGCCTTTGCAACCTCGTCAATCTGGTAGGCCTTGTCGCCGTGGACGAGACCAGCACCAGTGAGCTCGATGGCAGCCGAGGTGTTCTGGCCGTTCTCAAGCTCCTTGAACTTGGCGAGAGCCTTCGCCTTCTGGAACTCCTCGGTGCTGACACCGGAGGCGATCTTCTGGAGGGTCTCGACGACAGTTGCGGCGGCACCACCGACAGCCTTAGCAGGACCGGTGATGGTGACGGTGAGCAGGCCAGCATCGGAGTAGATGTTGCTCTTGGTCTCGATCTTGGCACCTGGGTGCTTAGCGCCAGCCTGAGAAAGGAGGGAGAAGCCTGGCGACCACTTAATGGTCGATTCACCACCGAGGAGCGCGGCAAGGACAGAGATCTCAGGCTTGTAGAAACCACCAGTGAAGGAGCTGGAGCCTGGGAAAGCAAGAACCATAGCGTTACCGGAGCCGTGGGCGATACGCTCCTCACCACCGAAGTACTTCGATTGCTCGCCCTTCAGGTCGCTGGCTGGTTGCGAGCGAACGTCACCGAAGAACTCGTTGACCCATTTGGAGAGCTCAGCGTGCTCAGCACCGTTGGCGACAACGGCGAAAGATGGCTTAGCGTAGGCGGACGCGGCGAACTCGGCAATGGTGTCGGCGTCGAGGTACTTGCTGAGTGGAAGGGAGGAAGATGGGTTGAGCGGAACACCAAGGCCGCGGTGGAAAGCAAGGCCGTGGGCGGAGTTGAAGGCCATCTCCTTAACGTTTGCGAGGAACTTCTTCTGTTGCATCTTGATGATAGCGTCAACCTCCTCGTGGTACACGTGTGCTATGTAGTGTTAGCCATCTGAAACCAGCTAGCCCAATCCGACTCTTTAACGTACGAGCGTATCTCGTCTGAGATGCGACCTCGGCCAACAGCTCGAC